GTCTACAAGTTCCCTTTGAAAGTAAATCTGACATTTGGAAACCTACATAAACATACATGTTGAGAATATTGGTTGAATGATTCTGTTTTTGTTTTCTTTTGTTTGTTTTTAAAAATTTGGCTTTTTTGGCTTTTACCCCTTTTTTTGTTAAAAAAAAAAAAAAAAAAAAATTATTTTCAAACCACCTACGCTAACCATACAGCAGTAGATTTTCATACACATACTCTCATCAGTACTTTTAATGACAGAACAGATGTCTTTCAATGTTTTTAACATTTTGTTAATGGCGTGAATGGACTCTTCTGAAAGAAAACCATAATCGCTGTTAGAAATGTAAACCTTTTTAGAAAACTTTTCCATGCCGTTCCTTCCAGTTTTTTTTTTTTCCTTGCTGCGGTCAAAAACGTTGTTTTGACCCCATTGATAATTAGAAGATCTAAAGAATTGTTCTTAAAATATTTATGTATAAAGTTCTAGTAGTGCATGGACAGCTTTTTGTGCAACACATTTTATTGCTGAGGTCAGGTCAGGCATCGGTTCCCCACCTGCTGTCTGGTATTTGTGTGGTAGACTGTGTTGAGGACCTACTGAAGATCTTGGTTCTCGCAAATAATTGAAGGCTTGCTTCGTTACTTGATTCAAGCCAAACACACTTTACTGACAAAGGTGCTCATGGATATGGAAAATCTTCTGATCTCTTCTTGGTCAACTACGAATTCTCCTGCTATCTAGCCGAAGACACTGCCAGGCCCATCTGTGGCATTAGGGCTTGGAGAGGTTAGAAAGCTCAATCCAATGGTGGTTTTTCTGTAAGCATGCCAGTGAAGAATCTCTGTGAGATCAATACTGTACTTCATTTGTTACTTTAGAGCCTCCATATATTGTAACCTCATTCTCCATATTCTCTGTATGTTCCTAATTGATCTATCCTACAACTCTTAGCCATGAGGTCTTTCATAAAGAATTTCAGAGCTCCTAATCTGCATCTTTTGCTACAAATTGATGTGCTTTGGACACACACTCTCACACCCACACCTCACACACTCTCACACACTCTCACACACTCTCACACTCACACTCTCACACACTCTCACACACTCACCCTCACACACTCTCACACACTCTCACACACTCTCACACACACTCTCACACACTCTCGCATACACTCACACACACTCACACTCTTTCAAGCCTATTCAGCCTGGTAATGGCTGACTCGAAGTAGCATTTCCCTCTGTCCACCACTAGGAGGTATTGTAACATAAAATCTACTGCATCTGCAATGAGCCAGAGGCTACAGTAACTATGAGTAGATCATTGTATCAGTTCTTACATGAATTGATCCTTTCATATGCAAGGGATAAAAAAAAAATATTCTGTGTATCTAGGGAACCATTGTTTTTAGAAAGCATGGATGTTTCAAAGAAAACCCTATAGCGCTTTAAATGTAAATGCTCTTTTCTTTTTTCACAGCTTTTTACTATTCTGTGTCCTATACAGGTATTTGTTTTATGCATGTGTTACTCATAACATCCTCTTTGTAGATATCCAAAAGCCCTTCAGACTGCTGCTGGGTGCCACCCTCTTGGATGTGATGATGGGCAGCCCCAGCAGACTTAGAGCTGTCTTTCTATAGTCTTCCCCTTTCCTTCTCCCCTGGCAGCTACATAAAGGGTTATGTAGGAAGAAAAGGGGGTTGGAAGTAACAAACGATTTCTAAATCATAGGGCTCTACTACTGCACAATCCAGTATTTAGTTTGACACTGCAATAAATGTTTGAATCCTCCTTTTTTGGCCTTTTTTATCAATAGAAAAAAAAAAAAAATCCTATGGTGGTTTGCCCAAAGGTTAGTTCTTGGTTTTTGACTTGCTTGTGATGTTCCCATTTCAGTGCTTGCATACTACATAAACCTATACTCCCAGCTGGAAGACTCAAACCTCTTATGGTTACAGTAGGTGTGGAAATGTAAGCACTGACATGTCACCATCTCATTCTTTTCAAGGCTATGACAAACAAGTGGCTTAAAGTGGAATTCTAGTTTTTATACCTTACCAATCCTAAAAATGCTTTCTCCTCCCCTTAACACCTATCCTGAATAAACTGTGTAATGAAGATGTATACGAGTACCTATTTTCACAAGGGAGCTGGATCATGTGACCAGAGCTGGCTGAAAGTAGGTAAGTATATGCATCTTTCTTACACAGGTTATTTGGGGGGATTTTTAAAAGGGGCTTTATGTATAACCTAAAATTCCACGTGTATTAAGAATTAAAATCTCACAGATGACAGGACCATTTTTAGGTTCTGTGGTGGCGTTATCGGAGTAACAAAATTTCAAACTTCCTTTTTAGAAGTGATTGGTGAGCACAGTTTGCCTGAATGAATTGACAATACTCAAGAGGAGGAGCAAAGATGATGATAAACAAATTATATCCCCTTCTCCCTTGACAATGTTCAGAGAGCTTTTATGTAACCAGATACTATACAGCCTGGCCTCATAGTTCACAAATGTTCATGTATTTTGTTTCCTTCACCGTAAAGGGAATTGTGGAATTCAGTCTTATTAGGTATGGGTAAACTCTGCGGTTTTTTTTTTTTATATAGGATTTTCATGTTAATGTGATTTAAATTATGTAAATCATTCTGTACGTGTTTTTAATAGTGCATCTAAACCCAAAATGGAAAATATTGTAGCATAGCAGACCTTAGATGTGGTGGCTGCATTACTTTTCTCTTTTATAGTTTAGATTTTATAGTTTAGAAGACGGCTAGTAGCCTCATTTTTAAGATTTTTAGTTAAAGTATAACTGAACTGCCTAAACCTGCCCTCTGTCGCAGGGAGGGAGTTTGAGGACTTGAGTAGACAGGAGCTGGAACATGTTCCACCCTATGTTGCATAAAATTGGGGTGATGCCGGTCTGGCCAGCGCCATCGGGTTGGAGGCGGAAATGATGGGCTCTGGTGCTGTACTCTGTGGCCAGCTGCCCTCCGAGCACTTGTCCATGGCGGCATGAGTGGAGTGGATGAGGGGGGGGGGGGGTCGATGCGGGGGCTGCATTCTCCACTCTATGGACTCTCTGGGGTTGTGGCTGTCTGGTGGGGGGGGGGGGCAGACTTGTGTTGTACCCCGGGGGGCTGTTTGGGGGAGGTTGCCACCTGGAAGACGTGTGCATCAGGGGGCTCTGCCAGGACTCTGTGTGTAGGGAGGGATGGGGGAATCTGGGGGTCCAGGGACACTTGCCTGCGCTCCCCTCTGTGGGGCGGAGGAAAGGGGGTGGCCTAGGACACAGGGCGAGTGAGCGCTGGACAGTGTGGGCTGACAGGGCCCAGGTGCCGAAACGCGGTTACCTCGTCACCGTGGCGACCTGGCGACTGGGATTTTACGAGCCCTGGTCTAAACAGTGTTTCTCTAAAGTATAGGGGCAGGTGTCCTCTATTGTTGTGGCACAAATACCCTGTAGTATAAATGAGTTAAAGCCGAGCTGCACCCAAAAGGGGAAGTTCCACTCTAAGCCTTTGTCCCCCGCTCCCCGTTAATGATTGGTACCTTTTGACAGGTACCTGCTTCCACTGCGATCATCTAAGTGATCAGAAGCAGGAGTTGTTGTCTCCCCCCCCCCCTCCTGTAGTCTTCTGAGACACTTGACAGGTCCCAGAAGACTACAGGGCCATTGGCAAAGTGCAGCGCTTCTTGTGCATGCACAGTGAGCTGTCACAGCCGGGTGCCCACCGGCACCGGGAACACAGGGCGGCTGGTGAAACCAGCGGTGGTGAGGATACCACTGGACTGAGGGACAGGTAAATGTCTGTATTTTAAAAGTTTTTGTAGCTGCTGAATTTTTATTTATTTCAGCTGGTTTAAAGTTGACTACTGGTTACATGTCTGCAATAAGTTAGGGGTTAATTAAATATAAATTTGTAATTGGTGTGTTGCAAGATATACGTTCTCACATAACTCTTGAAAACATCTTACATAACTAACAGTGGAGAACATCGGAGAGGAGTACTGGTACCATGAGATAAGAGGCATTTTTGTATCACGATATATCCTATATAGCGTTACGGCAGTCATCTATCTCCCTTTTTTTTTTTTTTCTTAGGCAAATGACTGTAGCCTATCCTTTTTAATTAAGGATAGGGCTGTTCTTTTGAATACTCTTGGGCACCTGGCCCAGCGTCCATTTTGTGTGATAGAACCATCCTGTACCTGGTAACTGTCAACACTTTTAATAAACACATGCTGTTGTTGCAGCAAAGTATAAAGATGGGGTCTTCCTTTGGTCAGATCGGAGCCTCACCTGTGAGTGGACGCACTGCATAGGACCCAGGACTTATTGGTTTCCAGTTTAAGACTGACTTGGCTGTAATGGAGCTCCCCAGTTGAATTGTTGGCACAGATGGTTTTAACTTTTTCAGTGTTGTATTTTTTTCCATTTCATGTATTGCCTTACTAATCATATGTAATATTGCTTTATTAACCATTTGTAGCACTCTGACTGTACAAATAAGGTTTACTGTTGCTCATAGGTATAGAATTATTCATTGGTTCTTGAGTTACTTCATTTTTGTGTCCCGTTTTTTTTTTAGGTAATGCATACCTTCATGGTCTTAACCCCTATGGCCTTCAGGAAAAAGTGTTTGAAATTGCAAAGAGTGATCACAATTAACGTGGCCAGTTGCTCTGTCTAGACGTAGTCTTAAACACTCTGGTTGTATAAAAGTTAAAGCTGTCTTGCTGAATCACTTTCTCCAATTCCTTTTATCCGTGTTTACTTTGCAAGATACCATGTAATGCATATATTTATATGAAATCATACTAGGCAGAGATGCACATGCCTGAGATAAGATTGCAATGGTGACATGCACTGCGTTTTTTTAATTTATAATTTACCTCAACAGAGCTTTCCAAAGAAAATGATATTACCTACTTGCATAGAAATTTCTAATTCTGGTTTATTGTTGTCCTTGTAGGTTGAAACTGATGAACCAGGATACAGGATGGAGTGGAACCGAAGCAACTTGAATGGTGCTGTTGCTCCACCTCACAGTCAGCAGCAGTATTTGCCATCTGCATCCACCATGGTTGCAAATGGGCAGAGCCAATTGTCTAGTGTACAGCAAAACGCCTATGTTCAGAACAGGTCCTTTAATTGTAACAAAGACCCACTTCTTCAAACTTTGCTGGCAGCCAAAACAGATGAAGACTATTTACAAGTTCAGCAAGTTGCCTTAGAAAATTTCAGGAGTAATCCAGGAGTATTTCAGAAGACAAAGAAAACAAACAGTCAGGTGAAATCGAGCCCTCAGATTTCTTCTTACAAGCCTGCTAAGGAAGGTGTTTCCATTCCAGACAACAGAAGTGCTATTACTGTTCAGAATTCTGTAGTATCTAACTACAGAATGCCAACCTATGTAAACATTATACATCAAATGCCACAGCAGCCACCATCTGTAGTAGTTGGGCAACAGTTTGGTGGAAATGGATACACTACTACTGTGGTCCAGCAACTGTGGAATTCCCAGCAACCTCTACAGAATTCCCAGCAACCTCTACAGAATTCCCAGCAACCTCTACAGAATGCTCAGGCATTACAAGCTTATCAACCTACTGTCACTTATACATATCCCCAGCAAAATAATCTTTATAACTCCATAAGACCCCCTGCTAACTCCATCCAAATGCCTTGCCAGCAAATGGCACCAAATGTGCCACCTTCAACGACGTACAGTTTACATAATGGTGTCTCGGGGCAGTTAACTTCTCAGAAATCACCTTCTGAAACAAATATTTCTGCAACTACGCAGGATTGCAGGAATATTCAAAATGTTACAAGTCCATCCTTGCCCAGGTATAGACCTTTGGCACCTAATATGTTGCCACATGCCCCCCAACAGCAATTGAGTATTCCCCAGCTACAGACCTTACCATGTTTGGATGGAAATTCCAACTGTTATACCCAAAGTCAACAAAGACAAAACATTCAGAATGTCTTGGGTAATAATTCTCCACAGATTTCAAGTGCAGCTGCTGAGATGATGCCACCTAATTACGCTCAAGCTACAACCAATCTGCCAAATGTTATCGGTGCATCAGCAAACCAGAACTTCAGTAAACAGAGGCAAAATTATGTTGCAGCCAATGTACAGCAGCCAGCACAGACCGGAAATCCCCAGCCTGTTCAGACTTCTATGGGGGATGAACAGTTTAGAATCCGTGACATAATTGCCTTACAAGAGAGGAAGCAAGAGATGCTTAAATTGTTGCTAGTTTACCGGAATGCCAGAAAGCAGTATGAGTTGTTGAATCGGGAAAATAACCTTTCAAGACAAAGGCTACAAGCCAGCATGTCCCAGGAAAATGCAAGACCACCACCACTCATTTCAAGCCTTCCGCCTGCCCAACCTCAGACAAACTGCATAATGGTTGGACAGCAGAACTTAACTCAGGCTGTATCTAACTCAACCCAAATAAATTCTGCAAAGGTTTTTCATAGTCAAAATCTATATGATAATGTGACGAATACTCCAAATCAAGCTAGTATACAACAGAATATATCTCTGCATGAAAATACAGCGATCCTCAGCCAATTGTTAAAAGCGGACAACGGTAACCTTCATAGGCAAAACAATTATTCAGTCTTTGATGTAAGCCAGGCAAATGTTGCAAATGGATCAACCTATGCTTTGCAGTCACTGAGCTCAGAAAATGTAACCACTAAAGTTTGTCAAAAAGCAACATCAAGGGAATTTGGGGGACAAACCAATTTGAATAACCAGTATGTATCTAGTTCGAACGCAAATATTGGAAACGTAATAAAGAATGGACATGGTTTACACAGTCCTGATAAACCAGCTTCAGTTTCTCAGAGTCTTAATACTTCCTGCCAAGAAAATAACCGAAATGGAAACCTGTCCTCCTGTACAGCTGGTTTAACTGGAAATGGACACGTGGCACCTGTTTCACGGGAAGCAATAGAAGCTTCTTTGCCTCTCTGGAAGACCGTTCCTCAAAGTACAAACAGGTCTTCAGAAACTCAACACAATCAGTCTCCAGTAGAATGTTCACTTGCTGCTTTCAATCTCCTGGATGAAATAACATCGGGGTCTACAAATGAGGTTTCTTCAACTCTCTCTGTACAAAAACAAGATTCAACTGTTCCAAGTGCTGCAAATCCACAGATTGCTATTGTTTCACCACTTGTGCAGTCTAAGGAGGCTCTTCATGGAGATTACCAGAAGTCTAAAGTTTGTGTACAAGGCCCAGACGTAGAAAACACTGCAATAAATAGTTTAATAAACTCACACGAAAATGAATGTTTCAGTAAAATTTTGCAAGCATTAGAATCTTTAGGAGCCAACACCATAAATAACATAGAAGCCTCAAGGTCTAAAGAGCCTCCAGTTGCAAGTCCGGATCATTTCAATCCACCCCTACTATTTAGCACTGAAACTTTATCTCAAACTGAACCTAAGACATCCAGTGAAAATGATGAAATTGTTGATGATAGTTTGCAGATTTCTGGAATATGTACTCTGGTAGAAGGTAACTCTTTTTATGATTCTTCTATTGCCATGATATTTGATGAAACTTCGGACACCACTGCATTGCTCCATACCAACACTATAGGTGAACATTCCAAAACTGTAGATGCATCTTGTATTCTGAAAGAACCATGCAATACTGCTCCAAAAGCAGTCACTGCAGCAATTAAATCAGAGCCTGTTGATGAAGTGGCAGTTGGTCATACAACTGAGGGTGACTTGCATTGCAGTAAACTTCCCTGTGTTGACATGGAAGCTGACCAACAATTGGGGTCTGCTCAGCAGAATTCTTGCTGTGACTTGGAATCCAGTGCTGTATCTGACCAGTTGACTGAACTTCTTTCTGAGTTTCCCTATGGAATAAAAAATTATATGTCTGAGAATATACTAGAGTGCACAAATGGTGGTCCCCAAGAAGACCAACTGGCAAACCTGTGTTTAAGGCAGCATCTAAGGACTCTGAACCTGTTAAATGCAAGGCAATTGACACACAATGTGAAATGGTGCCTGGTCCCTCCGTGAACCTGCAGCATATGGTCAAGATGGAGTCTGAGCTGTCAGATGATTCGGGGCCTTCAGCTGAAAGAACTGACATGCGGCCTCCAGCTGCAGAGGTGCACAAAACTGAAATCGTGCCTGTACCTGCTAAAGATGTTGTTGGAGATCCCTTGCCTTCAATAGACACCTGTTTAGATGATGGTTTTGAAATCCTTTCCAATAGTCCAGTGAGTGACATACATATTACTATTTTAGATCAGGATGAAATACCTAAGATTTTTCCAGGTGAAAAGGAATATGTAGATGATGAAAAATGCAATGAAACTAAACTTGAAGATTTGCAGGAATGTTCTAATACTCCTGAGCCTGAAACAGAGTCTCATTTGGTAAAAGACTCCACTAATGTGGTTGAGGCTGGAACAGATAAAAACTTATTCTGCTGTTTATTTAGTTGGTTAAATCTCACTAATAAAAATGCTCCAAAATGCAATTGCAAGCAACTAGAAGCCTTCAAAGAAGTAGAATCTGCTAAATTAAGTAATGACTCTATGCCAAAGACTGATCCATCCCCACAAAGTTCTGAACCAACATTGCAAGGTTTGCCTAAACCAGGCAACAGTGGCATTATTGGCCTTGAGATTCTGCAAACTGACAGACCTCCAAAACTTGACCTAGTAGATTCAGAAAATGAAGAAATTCTGCAGCCTATGGACAAACCACCCAAGCTTGAACGAATAACATCTGAAGATGAACATGTTCAAAAATTCACTCTCCAAGCAGAAAAAGGCTTAAAAAGGTCAACTTCTGTTGAAGGATTTCAATCTTCCAAAGATAGTCTGAAAAATAACCCTGTGATCCATGAAAAAAGTTTAACCCCTAGTCCCAGGGATGGGGAAGCTACTTTCATAAACAAGGACCAATCTCCAAATAAATTAAAATTTCATGGTTCCCGTAAATCTGAAAAGTTGATCGTTAAAACAGATTTTCTGAAGAGCAAGCGTTCATCTAAAGAAAAGAGAAAAAATGAAGGGAAAAATTATTTGAACAAAATTGATTCTCATAGTGGATTTTCAAAAAACTCGCCAGGTGAACCTGGAAAGGGGTCCCGAGGAGAAAAAGAAAAGGTTGAACAAAGTGCAAGCAGCATAAGAGATGAGCAGTCTCCTGAGAAGCAAGCAGACAGGAGTTGGAATAGACTGAAGAATTCCCCTGGTGGGGACAGATACATTCGCTCTCGTGGAGGCAGAAAGCGTAAGGAAAGAGAGAGTCATTTTGAAAAGACAAGGAAAGTGCCAACAGTGCAAGAATATTTAGAAAGAAAAAGGGAACTTTGTAAGAAAAGGACAGAAGCCAGAACAGAACCAAGAGAAGGTTTAGGAGATGTAAGGCACACAGCTGAGAGAGCTTCTGATATGAGTGGAAATAGTCCTTGTAATCTGAGGAGGCAATTATCTCCTGCAAAAACCGTGACTTCAAAAGAAAATGGCAAGTATTCTGAAACATCAAAAGTTTATCAAAAGGATGGTTCACAAAATGGAGGAGCTTATGAAGCTGGCCACAGAAGGCGCAAGTACTCTCGCAAAAGCCAAAAAATGCCTGAGAGCAAGGCAAAGAATGTGGGTCGCCCGTCAAATAAAGACAAAATCTATCTGACCCCTATTAGTTCCAGGCGTGCTTCTTATGATGGTATCAGTTTGGCTAAACTACAAATCAGACATTCTCCAGACAAACCAAAGTACACTGAACTAAGGAAATGTCTTGATAACTCTGGTCTCCCAAAACCTTCAAATTCTGCTTTGAAAAATAGTGATTCACCTAAAATGTTGGAGTTCAAACTATATCCAGAATTTACCCACGAAAGTCCTATCACTCAAGAGAGAGCACGGGGGGAGGCAACAAATTCTAAAGAAAAAAGTGTGGTAGAAGGTATGTAAAGTGCTTTTAAATGTGCCCTATTTTATGTTGACTTAGTTTTGCACGAAGGTAATGGCATTAAGAATTGTGCATATTGTAGTTGCTCAGTGGTTTAACCACTTCAAGTCGAGGCACTTTTTTTTTAACACTGATTGCTTTTACACCCGTAAAGGCAATAATTTATCCTCTGGCTGCATTCCTGCAGCCATTGAGAAATACTGTGTGTGCTGTGATTGGTTACAGCTTGTCACATGGTACAAGGCTGTTGTGCATAGACTTGTACCATGTGACCTCTGTGATCATTCACAAATTTCACAAGTAGTAAACAATGATGTAACATGATTACATATGTTCTTGCATAGCATGATTTCATTTATTGTTAGCTGTAAATATCAAGCACATACGGGAAAAATAAAAACGCTCAATTTTAAGAGCTAATTTTCCAAGGCTGAGAGCTGCTCTCCAAGACTTGGAGGGAATATTGACATCAATGAACACAACACAGAAATGGGAGTTCTTCAAAAAGACTATGTGAACACACTGCAAAATATATTCCCATGGGCAATAAGTTTAAACGGCTAAAAATCAAACTTATGTGGCTTACGGCCAAAGTTAAAAAAACTAGATAATAAGCAAAGCGCTTTTATTAAATATAAAAATGAAGGCACGCTATCATTGTTTAAACATTAGAAAGTATAACAGAATATGCAAAAAGGAAATAAAGGCCACAAAAATGGAAAATGAACGACAGATTACAAAAGATAGCAGGACAAACCCCCAAAAACTCTTCAAATATATTAACCACTTGCCATTCTGAGGATTTTAGCCTCCTTAATGACCAGGCCTCTTTTTGCTATTAGGCGCTGCACTATTTCAACTGATAATTGCGCAGTAATCAATGCTGTACCCAAATGAAATTTACATAATTTTTTTTCACAGAAATAAAGCTTTCTTTTGGTGGTTTTTGATCGCCTGTGTACTTTTTTAATTTTTCACTCTATAAACAAAAAAAAAAAAACCAGAACATTTTGAAGAGAAACAATATTTTTTTACTTTTGGCTATGAAAAAAAAAATATATAGTCAACGCAGTCATAAATTTAGGCCAAAATGTATTCTGCTACATGTTTTTGGTAAAAAAAAATCAAGTGTAAATTGATTGCTTTGTGTGAAAGTTATATCATCTACAAACTATGGTATAGATACTGCAATTTATGCCATTTTTTTTTGCTATACAGCGCTGCAATACTTTAACTGACAATTGTGTGGTCATTCAATACGGTACATAAATGAAGTTTACGGGGTTTTTTTTCACACAAATAGAGCTTTCTTTCAGTGGTATTTTATCACCTGTGCACTTTTTATTTTTGCCACTATAAACAAAGACCGAAAATTTTGAAAAAATATTTGCTCATTTCTGTCAGAAAAAATATCCAAAAAACTCAAGCTTCATCATAAATTTAGGCCAAAATGTGTTGTTACATGTTTTTGGTTAAAAGAATCTCCAATAAGTGGGCGGCCTTTTCAAAATAATCTAGTGTGGGTGACTGGGGACAAAGAGAAGACTAATTTATAAAATACCTTCTTCAGCTCTGTGTATACGAAGGAGCATGGGGGAGCTCTTGTCCATAATGGGCATGATATTGACACAGCTCCAGATGATCCACATTGGCTCACAATTGATATGATCCAGAAATATTTAGACAGAATAAAGGTCCATAAAGTACCTGGACCGGATGGCATACACCCACGAGTCCTTAAAGAATTGAGCTCTGTCATTTCAAAGCCATTTCTAATGTTTAGGAACTCTTTAATGACTGGCATAGTACCACTGTATTGCCGTAAGGTCAATGTGGTGCCTATATTTAAAAAGGGGTCAAAATCTTTACCAAATAATTATAGACCTGTTAGTTTAACTGATATAGTTGGGAAGGTACTGGAGAGTTTAATAAAGGACCACATAGATGAGTTCTTGCTGGAAAAAAAAAATGTTAAACAGGCAGCATGGATTCATGAAAGACAAGTTGTCAAACAAATCTGATTTCTTTCTATGAGGAGGTGAGCAACACTTTGGACAGAGGGGTGGATGTGGTATACTTGGATTTTGCAAAAGCGTTTGACACAGTTCCCACACACACGGCTAATGTGTAAGGTAAAGTCTACAGGCTTGGAAAAATCTGTATGTAAATAGAAAACTGTCTAAAGGATTGTATTCAGAGAGTAGTGGTTAATGATTCATACTCTGAATGGTCCAGGGTTGTCAGTGGTGTACCCCAGGGTTCAGTGTTGGGACCCTTACTGACAAGTTGAATAAAAATGTCACCTTAAAGCTTATATTTTATAAGTATTATTGTTGCATGTTACTTGTTAAGGATTTCTTCTGTATGTTTAAAAGGCTATATAGAAAACATATTTTTAAACTAATATTGTATCTTTGTATTTAAACTTCTATAATAAGTATATATCTACACTATCCTAAGTATATATCTAGTTAGATATTTTAGAATTAGTTAAGATGATTTTACAATGTTCTATACGTGGCATTAGGGGGTTTCAATTATAAATGAACTTAAGATTTATACTCCAAGAAATGTGTGTATTTAGCAATACAAGATGTATTCCAAGAATCCTGTTTTAAACAGATTTGTTCTGGGGAAACATTTCCAAATGTCACATTATCACAAAGTGTTTTTGTAGTCCTCTATTTTGATCCAATGTTTAGTTTAGGATTTGGCTAAATAATTGTGGACATGTTGAAATTTGGCATGGTCAAGAAGATGTAAATATGTTGACAATTAACAAGATCAAGAAGATTGTGTAATGTTAGTTACCATATACAGAACGCAAGCTGATTGATGTCGAAGTCCTTCCTTGAAAGGCTAGCTTAACATTACCTTTTTAAGTTTTATAACCTATAGGGTCTGGGATTAAAAATACCATTTCAGTCTTTGCAGATGACACCAAGCTGTGAAATGGAATAACGTCCTTTACAGGATGTCTCCAACTTACAAGCCGACCTCAATGCACTGTTTAATTGAGCAACTATGTAGCAAATGAGGTTTAATGTTGATAAATGTAAGGTTATTCACTTGGGGGCTAAGGATATGCATGCATCATACATACTCGGGGGAGTACAACTGGGAGAATCAATGTTGAAGGATCTGGGGGTTCTGGTAGATCACAAGCTTAATAATGGCATGCAATGCCAAGCTGTGGTTTCTAAAGCGAGCAAAATCCTCTCTTGTATTAAGAGGTATAGACTTCAGAGAGAGAGAGATATATCATATGACCCCGGTATTAATCAGTAATACCTCATCTGGAATATGCAGTTCAATTTTGGGCACCAATTCACAAAAAGAACATTCGGGAACTTGAGAAACTACAGAGATGGCCAACTAAACTGATCAGAGGCATGGAGGAGCTCATCTATGAGGAAAGATTAGAGGAACTGAATTTATTCTCTTTAAGAGGAGATTTAAGGGGGATATTTATTATTATACATGATTTATATTATACAGGATTTATATTGCGCCAATAGTTTGCGCTGTGCTTTACAAAATGAAGGTAGACATTACAGTTACAATACAATTTGGTACAAGAGGAAACAGAGGGCCCTGCTCGTTAGAGCTTACAATCTAGAAGATATACCGCAACAGTTTGCTCAGCGCTTTACAATATAAATGGAGATGATACAGTTCAATACAAGAGGGTTAGGAGGGCCCTGCTGCTTGGAGATATGAAAAACGTGTATAAATAAATCAGTGGTTTATAGTGAACTTGGTGTAGAGTTAATCACCTTGAGGTCATCACAGAGGACAAGGGGGCACTATTTACATTTGGAAAAAAATGTAATCTCCAAATACTGAGAAGTTTCTTCACAGTAGGCTGTGAAAATGTATATAGATAGATAATTATAGTATTATTGATGCTAAATATTATACATTGATTTGGGTTATTGACAAAGAAATGTATCTGAATACATATTGATCTATATTTATGAACAAAGATTTTTTGCAAAAATAGTTTTTTGTTTTTTTATAAAGCCGACGCTAAGCCACAAATCAGTCTTTTCTTATTGTTTCATAGGTATCAAAAGCAGCAAAGAGGCTTGGTGCAACAGTATCCCCTTGAAGAAACGCAAAGTGGAAGGTGTAGAAGGTCATGGTAAGGGAAAATGTTTTGAGTGTAAAGCGAGCCTGTCTTGATTGGGTTTAGTGATAATTGAACAGGCTCAAAGAGTCACTTTTAATCCTGCTCAAACAAGGCAGATTGACAGTCAATGCTGATGGCATGCTTACACTGCTTTCTCTCATCACCAGAGTCCTCCAAGGAGTGGGGCTTCCAGGCATAAGAGAGCATATGCAACCTCCCACATGTGACACTGTTTGGGCCTGAGCAGTCAATCCCCATGTCTGAACATGTGCGGGATAGCCACTGACATCCTGCTTCTATCTAAGCACTGACAATGTAGCTTAGGCATGACTTAAAGTGTTACTAAACCCAGGACCCTGCATTCACTATATCTGATCTCCCACAGTACACACAGCATGGAAATGCAATTATTTTAGTAAATATAAACTGCTAAATACCTTTTTCTCATCAGAAGTTAGAGCAGTCTTGTGACTTCTATCAGTGTTCAGCCAAGCACTAGCTGAAGCTTGTAAGAAGGGTTTTCTTTTTGCTCTAGGAGGATACAAACCCCCTGACCTCTGTCTGACCAGTGCTGATTGGCCCTGTGCTGATCACATGCACTCTCCCAAGAATAAAAAGCTCTCTAGCAATGCACAACAAACTGAGCATGTGTAAAATGCCTATGGTTCAGTCTGTCTTCTCAGGAGATAAGAGGTGGTCGCTTAAACAAGGGGAGGAACAGAGCAATCAGGATCAAACTGCCTTTTTACACAATGCAGAGGATTAACCCCTTAGGCTCCACAGTGAGTATAAAAGCATGCTTTACTGCATATACAGACTGATTTTACTGTTGTGGGTTTAGTAACACTTTAATTGGCAAAGCGACTTTTTTTTTTTTTTTTATATATAAATATGTAAAGGATTTGTTCTTCAGTATCGTGCAGAGTGTCATGGACCTTTGCTGTTCTGCCCAACCTCGTACATGGTGCACGCACAAACTCAGAGATTGGTAGCCGACAGGCCAGCAATACTCAAACTTCAGATAAGATGACCATCTTATCTTCTGTTATCCTTATCCCTTCCGCTATTGCTATCCTGACAGGTCCCTATTTTAAAGAAAACTTATCGGGCCTTTTAAAAGCTCTAGGACGAGGGTCAGCAACCCATAGATCACAGTCTGGGCTTGCTGACCCACCATCCCAAAGCATCAAATAGAATGCAATGCAGAGTGACTACTTGTAAAGTTTATAGCTGTGGTAGGGAGTAAGAGCCCCATAGGATGATGCCTCCTCTGTAGTGCTGTTTCCTGTCCCATGTGGAGTGATACCAACTGCATTCCACCTCTTATCCCAGCTAGCAGTCTCCAGAGTGGTGCCAACAGCAGGAAAGAAGAGATCTTCAGTTCAGTGTGAAGCACTGGGCATAATAGTATAGGACTGCTTTCACACTGAATGCGCTGCAATTTACCCACACTGCTGGTGCAGTATAGTGTACCGTACCTTTTTAGCTTTCCTGCTGGTTTGCTGTGTTTAGTGATAGACTTTTATTATATCTTGTGGGTTTGGTGCACTTTCTGAGAGTGCACCAAAACTCCTGAATGCAGCAAAGTGCACCACACCTGCAAGATATAAAAAAGTCTATGGCAAAGCACAGCTAACCCAGGATAATCGCAGATGCACTAATAGTAAGGGTTCATTTTACATTTTGCAGTTTGGGAGGGGTGGTAAAAAACCAAAGTTATGTGTTTTTACCCACAACCTTTTTTTCTGCTTTCAGGTGTGAGTGCACACCCCCTTTAGCTGCAGTGGCCAGGGGTGTACGTATGTCACAGCCGCAGCAGGAGTTGTATGCCCTGTCATAGTTGGTGGGTGTAGTACTTGCCAAGCATGACCCATTCAAGTGAATGATGCTGCTCTGTAAGTGCCCTGCAACCTTGCGCAGTACAGCAAACAAGGGGTTGAAAAGGCAGCGGTGTGTTGCTTTCTCACCACCTGCTTTAATCCCTTGGACCCCACAGATGCATGCAGTTGTGGGAGCACTTTCAGAGTGGCCCCATTTACTTGAATGGTTTGTGATTGGTAGATGGTAGCACCCACCAAAAGCAACTGGGGGTTTAATTCCTGCTGTGGCATGTGTACACTTTATTGGCTGCTGCCTCAGCAGTCAAAGTGGGTAGGGACTGGGGGTGATAAATCTGCAATTAAACCAAAGGGTTTTACCACCCCCAACTTTTTGTGAACGAGCCCTAAGGATGCCGCTGCCAAATGCCACTAAGGGCTCCGTCACAAGTGCAGCAGGCACTGCTGCTCCTCTGAAAAATGAACCCAGTGTGTTTGGCAGGTGGTGAAGTGGTGACACTGGCCCAGGTGATATTTGACTTCTCCCATGTTGTACAGGTAGATTTGCACCTCTTTAAGGTTACCTACCGCTGTTCTAGGGGGAGGCGCTGCCTTGTGAATGCTATTCACTTTGTTGGTTCTGAAAGCTTGCTGCATGTGCCCATCTGAAATTGTTTTGTCAGGAGTGTGACGTGCAAGTCTAAGTTTATTCCAGTGCCTCATTAGCCAAAAAGGCATTATTATTGGACAGCGGATTGACAGTTGCTTTGGGTTAGCCTTGAAGTCAGAGAGAAAAGTCCCAAGTAACTAAGAAAAACTAGATCTAGAAGCACTCGGAAGAAAAACTCTATGCTTGTGTTTATTTTACTGATTTACTTGTCTTTACTTTCAGGCTTTCAGAAATCGCCAGTATCAGCTGAATCAACCCCACTTTATAAACCACTTGAGAAAAACAATACTCGACCACCGCAAGATTCAAGGACCACTTTCAATGTTTTTAAACAGATGTACCATGAACAGAGGAGCAAAAGCCTTGACTTTAGCCAAGGCAACTCATGATCATCTACAGTGTCCATTTTCTGATGAGTTGGCTGGTTTGACTTTCTGCAGAGCTGTAATGGAGTACAAACAAGAGGACATTAAAAGTGGCAAAACTGAGGGACCATAACGTCAATGAATTCTTAAATCCAGTATTATATCCTGAAGGACATTGGATGGCTTTGGCTGTAAGAAGAACATCACCATTGGATATTATTCTTTGGTTGTAAGGACATTGCAATTGTACATAGTGCCCTTTTTTTGTGAGGTAGAAAGACATCTAGTGCTGGTAGCATTATAAGTGAAACTTCAGTCACTTTTTTTCCAGTGGCAAAGGTTTTGTTTTTTTTTTTTAATGTTGTTAATGTCCATTTTTTTTTCTCATCCGGGAAGCAATCGGGTAGAACGTGTTCAGTAGGGAAATAAATGCCAATAAAAGTCCCTTTGCAGCACAGTGGGAAAGCGCTAGAAGAGCTCTTAAGCAGGCATAGATTGGTTGGTTGAATCTTGGACAGTTCAACAGCAAGTGGCCCAGACTCTCATCTATGGGCAAGCTGGTTGTACCCAAGTCGATCTTTTTTTTTTTTCTCCTTTCCTTCCCTTCCCCTCGTCTTCTTTAACGTAAGCGATTACTGCCTGCCACTATAGTTGCTAACCATAATCTTTGTTTTCCTGGCCGGAATGGCTTCCAGCCGGCAGAATACAAACCTCTGCGGGAGGCATTCCCCGGACCAACACTGACTGTGTGATGGGGAATTCATGGAATCCTCTATGGGCTTGCCTTAGCATTTGTTAAGGTCTGTGTTCCCCTATGTGGGAGAATTGCCTCTCTTGCGGTTTCAAAAGATTGACTTCATTAAAGAAAAAAATCTGACCGAAGTTCTAACCCATCTTTACTTTTGTCAAGACTTTGCTAATTCGAGCTTCAATGTGTGATGAAATATTTGCAAATCTTTTAGCAAGCCTCAAGCAGCTTTGTTTAAGCCTTTAAATTAGACCTAGTTCTATTAGGGGTTTGTGTAACCACCATTAATGGAATTGCTAACTAAAGCTGAACAGCAGCCTTTCCTTTTTAGTTCTATAGGCTCTTCCCCTGTACTCAATATGCTTGCTCTAATTTCACTGCACACTGTGAGTTCAGTGTGCATTACAGGCTTCAAAACAAGTAGAGGCATTGCTTAGGGTGGTGTGCTTGCAGATGCATTCTGCCTAGGGACAATCACTACTGCAGACTGTATAACTCCTCCCAAGAGCTAGTCCACTGCTTACATCATGGCAGAGGGCTCTTAGGAAAGTATTGACACTGGTGTTAGGATGTTTTCTGCAAGCTCTGCTCAGGTCCCCGTTGGAACCACCCACTAGCTATGATCTGCCTGCATTGCATAGAGAAGTGCAGAGATGTTGGGTTTACCCAAGCTCCTAGCAGGCCTCAACAAGTTTTAGGTTGTGTTTAGGTTTACTGAAGCCTGCTAGCAACTTATTTAGAGAGGCAGTAAGCACATCTGACAAGATGTGTAACTTCCCCTACCCTGGAGCAGAAGGGTGTTTTTTAAAGGCTTCCTAAAAGCTGCTTGAAACTGGCTGAAAGCTTTGCAAATTTTTAGTTTGCTATACACATGGTTTTCTGGGCTGAAACCCATATGAACAAGACCAGCCTAAAAGAAGAATGCTTGGAGATGCGTTTTGTAACTTCATTTCTCTGATATAAAGGAATGGTCCACTTTCAGCTGAAAGTTCATATTTGAATTAATGCTGAGCTTAAATCTGCTTCATGGTGTCTTGAATGTATGTGCCTCCCAGAGTTACAGCTCAATAGAAAATAAATCCCATCTATAGTGGGGAGGGTCTGGGGAATCCAAAAAAAAAAAAAATTACATTTGCCTGGACCTACTGAAACTTGAAAAGCCAAGTTGGACTGACCCTTTAAATCACTGATAGGTGTGTGTGGTGTTTTTTTGGGTTTTTTTTTTTTTTTTTGGGGGGGGGGGGGGGGGGGGGGGGGGGGGGGGGAGAGAGTTTTCATAGCATTTCCGGTGCTGTTTTTGTGTACAACATGCTGCTATGGAGGGTGGTTACTCTCATTTAAATGTACAGAGCTTTAAAATGGGGATTATCAATTTGTACATATAGGCCCTCTCATGCAGTAAGCATGATTGGGGACTTTTTATCCCTAAGCTGCCATGTTTCTGTACTTGTCATACTACTTGCACTAAATATTTTTCTTACGTTTTTCCAAAAACAGGTTTTTTGGGCTTTTTTTTTTTTACCTTCAAGTCTAATTAAATATTTCTTTGCTATGTTTTGAATTACTTGTTAAATATGTTGATGTCTGTTTAAAGGCCCAACAATGCAGAATTAAAAGAAAAATGAATTCTGCAATTGCATTAAACGTTAAATTGCTTTTGTAGTTACTCTTACAGATACTGTTTTGCCATCTGGCAGACCTTCTACCTTTTTCAGTCATGTCATGGCTTGACACTGGGCAATGAGTGATCATCTACAGCCAGTGGGGAGTATGTTCTGGTGTTCAAAGAATGCCCCAAGTTCAGTGTTGGTAGTCCCGATTTAAAAAAACGGAGGCTGCATACTTGTAGAGTGACAAGTTCTCTCTCTCTCTCTCTCTCTCTCTCATATATATATTACACCCTTCTCTGGTAGCCTGTGTCTCCTACCTCCGTTCTGGTCCAGCATTGCAGCTTCCGTCATTTTTACCATTCACACTTTTTAAGAGCATTGAATGTTTGGGTCAGAAGAAGGAACCATGGTGCACAAGGCAGAAACTCAAGAATTCAACCCTCCTGGAAGTGTTGAATGTGGAAGACCCTGACTGAGACCACAGCGCTGAAATGAAGGAAAAATGGAGACATATGCTACTGAAGAGATGTCTATAATCCCTCTTTTTCAAGGGAGTGTTAATTTCAGTTACTAAATGACCTGATAGTCTGTCAAGTGTGTTGTAAATTTAGAGGGATGATGACTAATAATTGTAATTATTAGTGCTACTAAGGAATCGAGTGTATGCGATCAAAATGAATCTCCTGCAAAGACAAAGTACACAGAGTACTGGCAAATATTACAGTGATCAGAAGCCATATCAAGCATAGAGAAACGCCACCTATAAAGTGTGTGTATATATACACTATGTGTGATACAGGGGTGTGGAAATTTTTAAAACTACTTGTCCAAGGGTCTAAATCGGTGTCCCAATCTACTTGTTCTTCATGACAATCTACTTGTCCAGATAGAAAAAAAATAATAAAATTCAACCAAACCGTATTTAAATCAGAGGTGATATTAGGAATGTTTTAAAAACAAAAGGTTTTATGGTGACTTAATAGTTTAATATTTTTAACATTGCGCTGTTTTTACCTCCTCCTCCCCTCCCTGCCTGTCTCCAGCACTGCACTCGGGGACTAGCAGGGAGCAGAGAGACCTTACAGTGTAAGGAGAACTGCTTATCAGGAAAGGGGAGTGTCAGGCTTATCCTTTATCCCTTTCGCTGCCAGAGCTGGTTTTGCATTTTTATTTTTTTTACACAAGATTAAAAAAAATAATTTTAGGCCTGAAGATTACACAAAACCCCCAAACATATTTTCTGAAATCAGAGACCCTAGAGAATAAAATAGTTCCAATTTTTTGTCTCATGATATTACCGCAAAGTTTCAGTAAAAAATACAAGTTAGGGGAATTTATTGCTCTTTTTGTGTCCTAAAATTAAACTGTTCTTTGTAAAATATAAAAGATGAGGTTGCAGTGAGTAAATATCCAACTTGTCAAACCTTAAATTTGCGTGCACTTGTGAAATGGTGATAAACTTTCAGTACCCTATATTTTCTATAGGTGATGCTTTTAAAGCCCTGTCTAGGTCATCAGTGCATATGCATATATATATATATATATATATATATATGAATAAGATGTTATGTGCTTGGGTGTAACCCTAATTTTTTACTTAAAAAAAAAAAAATTATTTTTTTCCGTCTAAAAGACCCTGGATGTCTCCCAACTGCTCCCCTGAATGTAATGCAGTGCACATCGCACTGCATTACATTTTTTCCCGGCCTCAATTGCCAGGAATCAAGAGAATTGCAGTGAGGACAATTGATTTGATCCCCTGCAGATTTTGTAAGTTTTGCCCACTTAGAAATGAAGGGCCTATAATTTTTATCAGGTATATTTTAAATGATAGAGACACAATGTCAACCAAAAACCCAGAAAAAAAAGTACAAATGTTATAAATTCAGTCGTAGTACGGTGAATAAAAAGTATTTGATTCTTCCCCCCCCCCCCCCCAAGCAAATCATGCCTTGGTACTTCATGTTTGCCAACAAGGGTTTCTCCACCGAGGTAAGATGTTTCTTGTAGTTGGTTACCAGGTTTACACACATCTCAGGAGGGTTTTTGATTCTTTACAGATATTCTCTAAATCCTTAAGGTTTCTTGGCTGTTGCTTGGCAACGTGGAGGTTTTGGCACCCTCCATAAATTTTTTTTGATAGGATTAAGGTCTGGAGACTGGTTAGGCCACTCCATGAGCTTAATGTGCTTCTTCCTGAGCCACTCCTTTGTTGCCTTTAGTGGTATGATTTGGGTCATTGTTATGCTGGAAACCCATCCACAACCCACCTTTCAGTGTTCTGGCTGAGTGAAGAAAGTTCTCATTCAAGATTTTACAATACATTGGCCCCTCACTGCAGCAAAGTTGGCCTGTACCTTTTTAGCAGATAAATGGCCTAATGTTTCCATCTCTGTGCCTGACTGTAGGGATGGTGTTTTTAGGGTCATAGTCAGCATTTTTCTTCCTCCAAACACTATGAATCTAGTTATTGCCAAAAAGCTCAATTTTGGTCTCATCTGACCACAGCCTTTTTTCTCCAATTCTCTGAATATTTAGATGTTCGTAGGTCTGGGCTGATCCCTCACTTTTCTCATCATCTTTACCCCATGAGGTGAAATCCTGTATGGAGCTCCAGACCGAGGGCGATTTGATGGTTATTTTGTCTTTCTTCCACACCAAGCTTC